CATCTCATATCATGTTTTCAGATATGCTCATTCAAACAATAAATCACTGCCCTCACAAATATAACACCTAAAACTTGTTTCAGTGTGAATCTACGCATCCATCCAGATACAGGCGTCACAGATGCATCAGGTCTATTGAAAAAAATGAAAACATTCGTTCCTCGAACATTAAAATCAAATTGTGCAGATGATTTGGAACCTACAAATGCAATGAATGGTAACTAACAAACCGGCTTTTCGATACCATATTGCGGTAAATAGCTCTGTTTACTGCTACATTTATCGCAAAAGATTTGTCCACATGCTCGACAATGGTGTTTGCGGGTGATTAGGCCGAATGCCGTACGACACCTTAACGGAATACGGCTTATTCGGCAACAGACCGAAATGTTCAACTCAAATTTTCTGCATAATTTTGATGGTGCTACATGTAGCATCATCAAAATTATGCAGAAAATTGAATCAGTACTATCGCAATCGGTGACTGCTTCAGTTCATAGCAATCAACAGTTGATAAGCTTAATTCAGATTATTCAGGTACTCCAAAAGACACTTGGTTAGCTAAAAATTTGTTTATTGTTTGTATCACCACTATCATCATTGATAACATACGATAACTATGGGTGTATCTGCTGTGGGGCTGGACACGGATTGCTGTGATCGTCATCCATTTACACGTACAGAGATGAGTTTTCAACTGACACTAGCAATCCATATAAGGAAGAGAGGAATTATTTTGGTAAGTACCTGAAGCATTCGTCGCCATCAGCCCATTCGGGTGCACTCTCAGCAACGAACATTGCCTCGGCTTCCGCCACTTCCGGAAATTCGAAACCAGCGAACTTCATCAAATTATGCGTATCAACAACAATCTTATATTCCGGCTTATTTTTGAACGCCATCGCCCAACACTGCAGCAGTTCCAGTATCTTATTTTTCACCTTATCTGTTGTACTGTCCAATGAGAGATTTTTCAGATCCTCCATGAAATCTTTCGTGGCCACTTCTGCGTGGAATTTACTTCCACAATTCTTCATGCATGCCTCTAGAACAAGTAATGCATGATGAGCAACATGAGGATTTTCGTTATGGTAGCGTTTACGAATCGATGCAACCGCTGGTTTTATGGGTGCTTCGCCGGCTCGGATCAGATCAACACATTCGATTATCACATCCCAGTTCGGCTCAATCAATGTCGAATCAGTTGCTTTCTCTGCAAGTTCGACAGGTGATGTATGCAGAGTACATTTAAAATGCTGGAAGAACAAGACTTCCGCTGACGTTCAACTAGTAAAAAGTAATTCAAGAATGTGATCTAATAAACTAACCGAGCAACCTATCGAAACGTTTCGACATTTTGTTGATGAACAAGCCAACAACAACCAATGCTTTACACCAAATGCGCGAAACAAACCGATCTCAAATTCACCAACTGTAATAAATAAAACCAATTAAATATTCATTAACCTAAAGATTTCGTGAGCAAATCTGCTGGAAGCACGAGGAAAGCTGCGGACTACCTAACAAAAATCATCAGAATATCATCGGAATTCAGAGCACAATTCAAAATTGAGAACAAATGCATTTACAATCCACCAGATTAAAATGTTTGATTA